CAACACGTACACAAAATGGGTGTAGCGGAGATGAGGATGCTTCGTGGGATGTGTGGGCACACGAGAAAGGATAAGATTGGGAATGAGGATATCTGAGGTAAAGTAGGAGTAGCCGAAATTGTAGGAAAGATGAGAGAAAATCGGCTCTGGTGATTTGGACATGTGCAAAGAAGGCCGACTGACGCTCCGGTTCGAAGATGTGACTACGGGACAGAGGTTCAGGGCCGAAGGGGTAGAGGAAGACCTAGGAAAACTTTGGAAGAGACTCTAAGAAAAGACTTAGAGTACTTGGATCTAACGGAGAGCATGACACAAAACCGAGCGCAATGGCGTTCTAGGATTCATATAGCCGACCCCACTTAGTGGGAAAAGGCTTTGTTGTTGTTGTGACATTTCAATACACTAGTTCAGTAAAATAAATTATGGTATGGACGTTTAGGTGCACTAATTAGAGGAAGTTAAACAGAATTAAAGAATTAAAATATGTACAATAATAAATTTAAAATTTAATGTGGAGACATTAATAAGATAACTATAAAATATTAAAACAAAATTATAATATAAATTTGAATTAAGTACACATTAAGGCACTAAAATGAATATGTAATATAACACCAAATTTTTATTAAATTTTAATCTTCTTCAAGAATTAAAGCTCAAAAACCCCCTTTAAAGTTTCGCATATCCAGTTGATTAACTCCAAATTTACTGTCGAGTGTAAAGAAAAATGAAGCAATAAAGAATAAATATATCAGCCAAGAACACCCACAACCCTAGCAGACACCTACGGCCCACCCTCCCCCAACCATAGTAAGCAACGTAATTAGGGACACAAATCAACGAGTCCTTGGTCATCTTTATTCAGTTTTTCAGCATACTCTCTGGGGCAGTTTTTCAGCATACTCTCTGGACTTCTCAGCCCCAATTGCTTGGTATCAACCAGGAAGTCAATCTGTGATGTTTTACTCAATCCTTTGAACACTTGGTCACATTGAGAATTTCATCCACAACTTGAAACAGCAACTCTCAATGTTTCCTGCTTTGCGGTTGCCATCAATGGGGTGTGATGGGTGGATAATAGATGTTTTTAATCGTTTGTTTTTTATTTTTTATTTTTTAAAATTATGAGTGATAAGTTGGAATTATTCAAGTGGATACGGAGTTGCCATCAATGGGGTGTGATGGGTGGATGATAGGTGTTATTAATCGTTTGTTTTTATTTTATTTTATTTTATTTATTTATTTAAATTATGAGTGATAAGTTAGAAGTATTCAAGTGGATACGGGGTTGCCATCAATGGTGTGTGATGGGTGGATGATAGCTAGGTGTTTTTAATCATTTGTTTTTATTTTTTATTTTTAAAATTTTGAGTGATAAGTTGGAATTATTCAAGTGGATACATGTCAAAATTAAAATTTGATGTATGACATTAGGTTAATAAAATGATCAAGATTTAATGAAATACGGGTAAATGCGGGATGTGTAAATGTAGAGACTCGAGATTCATCATATATTTTTTAATTTTCATCATTCATTGTTCAAATAAAGAAAAAAGACTCTTACTATCATAAATTTAAAGGAAAACTAATGAAAATGGTTTGAAAACTTTGAGTTTTAATGATAAAGACAAAATAAAGGGTAAAGTGAATAGTAATAAGGGTAAAACTGTAAACAGTTAAGGTTGTTATGGTTGTTTTGTAATTAGTGAGTGATTAGTTGATGAAGGTGTAATTAGTTAGTTATCTAAGTAACTAGTATATAAGGCATCAGTGTGTAATCTTATGAACATAATGAAGATACATTTCCTTTTGCTCAACAGGATCATCCTCCGCCATCACATTCCAGCTCTAGTTCTTCTCATTTACAACCATCCAATCCTATTCCCACCACATTGACTTTTCCTTCTCTATCTCAACCTTCTTCCTCTCTGTCTCCTCTCTTATCTCCAACTCCCTCTTCACCCTCTCCATCCTCATCTCTTCCTGTCCCCTCTTCTACTGCCTTACCTAACCCTCATCTTTCTGCACCCTCAATCCCTCTCAATACTCATTCCATGCAAACCAAATCCAAATCGGGTATTTTTAAACCCAAAGCACTTATGGCAACCAAGTATCCCATCTCTTCTGATCTCTCTCCCGATTATACACCTTCTACCTATCTTCAAGCATCCAAACATCCTCATTGGCGTCGAGCAATGCAAGAAGAATTTAATGCTCTCATTCAAACTGGCACTTGGTCTCTAGTTCCTGCTACTCCCACTCAGAACTTGGTTGGTGCGAAATGGGTTTCAGAATCAAACGAAAACCGGATGGTACTATTGATAGGTACAAAGCTCAGCTTGTTGCCAAAGGCTTCCATCAGCAGCAAGGCATTGATTATACTGAGACATTTAGTCCAGTTGCTAAGCCTGTTACTATTCGGTTACTTCTCACTTTGGCTGCCAAGTTTGATTGGTTTCTCAATCAACTTGATGTCAGCAATGCCTTTTTGCATGGTACCTTGACAGAATCTGTGTTCATGATCCAACCACCAGGATTTGAAGACCCTACCAAGCTCAATCATGTCTGTCATCTCCATAAATCTTTGTATGGGCTCAAGCAAGCCCCCAGGGCCTGGTATGACAAACTCACCACTGCATTGAAGTCTCTGGGTTTCTCAGGTTCCTCAAATGATCATTCTCTATTTGTCAAGAAGGCTCCTGCGTTGATCTTCATTTTGGTCTACGTTGATGATATTATTGTTACTAGACCGAATGCTCAACTCTGCCAAGATGTTATTTCTTAGCTCAGTTCTTTATTCCCTGTCAAAGATCTTGGTCCTCTTCATTACTTCCTTGGTATTGAAGTCAAGCGGTCATCATCTGGTATCCTTCTTTCTCAACACAAGTATATTCTCGATCTTCTCTCCAAAGCACACATGGAAGGCTCCAAACCTTGTGTCACTCCTCTTAGTACAACTAAATTGGATCATGACTCTTCTCTGCTTGATAACCCTGAGGAATATAGATCTTTGGTTGGTGGTTTGCAATACTTAACGTGGACACGGCCAGATCTGTCTTATGCAGTTAATTTGGTTTGTCAATTTATGCATTGTCCGAGACAAGCTCATTTTCAGGCCGTCAAACGCATTCTCCGATATCTAAAGGGTACTCTGTCTCTTGGCTTATGGTTTCCCAAATGTCCTAAACCTCTTACTCTCACTGCTTTCTCTGATGCCGACTGGGCCGGTTGCAGTCTCGATCGCCGGTCTACTGGGGGGTTTTGTGTCTATTTGGGTGACTCCCTTATAAGCTGGAGTGCCAAGAAACAGCCTACTGTGGCTCGGTCATCGACCGAAGCTGAATATCGATCCTTGGCTAACACTGCAGCTGAACTGACATGGATATGTAAGCTTTTACTTGATGTTGGTCTTGATCTTCCTTCTTCCCCTCAGATTTGGTGTGACAACATTTCTGCTATTTCATTGGCTAAAAATCCAATCTTCCATGCTCGAACCAAGCATGTGGAGATTGATTATCACTACATTCGGGAAAAAGTGCTTGCTCATCAAGTTCAGGTTTTGTTTGTGTGTACTCAAGATCAGGTTGCTGATATCTGCACCAAGGCTCTGTCCAAGCACAGATTCCATCTTCTCCGGGACAAACTCTCCCTTCGGCTACCTCAGTTCGGTTTGAGGGGGGATAATAAGGGTAAAACTGTAAACAGTTAAGGTTGTTATGGTTGTTTTGTAATTAGTGAGTGATTAGTTGATGAAGGTGTAATTAGTTAGTTATCTAAGTAACTAGTATATAAGGCATCAGTGTGTAATCTTATGAACATAATGAAATGAAAGGATAATTTTCCTAATAAATAGTACCAGAATTGACTTTTTAGTGTAAAAATGTGATTTTTCGTTAAAGTGAACAGTACCAGAAGTTTTTCGTTAAAATTTCCTAAATTTAATCTGATGCATCTCAAATTCCGATTTTTTTTGGAAAAAAAAAATCATAATAAGGTATTAAATTTGGAATGCGTCATCTCATTTTCGCCATAGGCATCATTTTGCATTAACACGACTCCGGTGCTGCGTAAGCAATTTTGACAAATTTGTTAACCAATTTTGACAGTAAAATTAGACAGAGTGAGACATAAGTGGAGTACGATTTGACTTTCAAGAAATTAAATGTAACTAAGTCCTTTTTCATACTAAATTCGTATACGTTGGGACATTTTGGCAAATAGTGAAAGTTTTTGTTAACACCACGTGCACGTATCAACTTGTAGGGTTGCCATATCTTTTGTCAATAGCAGATAAGGAATCTTGTGGGCCTTTCATTGTTTTATAAATCTCCACCTAGGTTCTGATTAGGCACTAAACGGTTGACCACCATTCTAATTAATTCTTAAATTTAAAAAAATAAGAAAGGGCATCTAGGCAGGTCTAGGCGACCACCTAGGACAAAAAATAGATAACTTCCATTTTTTCATTTTATTTTTTCAATAAATTTTAAGATACTTGTTGGGTACTTGGATGAATACTCATTATATGTTTGTTTATCATGTTTTCAATATGTTACAATACTTTACAATTGATATGTCATTCTATTTTGCAATTTATGTATTCCAATACAGTTATATATTTTTGAAGTATAAGTAGACATTTATTTATATATCAGTAAATAAATTTAGTTGAAGTTAAAAAAAAAAAAACTATCTAGGCCCTCGATGGCCTAGGCGCTAGGTTCCTACCTGTTACTTGACTAATGACTAGCGTTTTTTAGAATCTTGGAGCTGCTAGGGGTTGTCATATCATTCGTCATGAACAATACAATTATGATAAACAAGTACAGTTGTGCATTATACAATATAATTTCCTTTCACTGTTCTCGGAAAAAAAAAATCTATCCTATTTCAGGAGAGTTGGGAGAAAAATTATAAGTGGGAAGTAAATGTGTCTAAGTTAAACTAATACGCAAAATTATTCTTGATTATTAGGTAATTAACTAAATGGGAGAATTAACCTGGTAGCTGCCAATACCATGTCTTTGAGCTTCGTTTTCTTCTTAGTCTCTACATTCAAAACCTGCAAGATAAAATGACAGATGAATAAAATATTATATTGCCATTTAAATTCTAGCTGGACCTTTTGTATTGAATAATATGTTTTAAATTTTCTGGGTAATATATATATATACCTGACTAATCTTTATAGTAGCTTGGCTCCAGTGAAATGCAAAATAGCTAAGGATGCATCTATCAAATTCATCAATCAAATTTATGTAGAGAGAATCTGGATCTGCTTCTAAAGCGAAATATTCGTAGATGTTATCTTCACACCCTTTCGTTTTTCTCAAGTAGTCATAAGCTAACTTGCACAGCTGGGGGCACTCATTTGCATCTAAAATTCCTAGTTGCCTAGCTGCACATATAAACAAGCAAAAATTAAGCACTTTAAAATAAATAAAATTTAGTACTTTAGCAAGAAAAAGTTAGTAACAAGACTCAACGTTAAAATTAATTTCCTATTCAGTAATATAAAAAACTTGTAAAAGTTGAAAACATAGAAAAATACAAACTAAAATGTAAAATGTTATATTAACTTGGTTTCAAGAGGGGTCAACTTCAGTGACCCCCTTTTTTCATGAACTAACAGAAAATGCTAACTAAAATGTTCAATTAATCTCTCTTCCCATGCAGAACATGCCTAACTTTTTTTTTTTTTTTTTTTGTATTCAATAATACTCTTTAGTGGCATACAGATTGACCAAGTTGCCCTTATTTTCCGATTTTACTTCTTGTTGGTTTGAGCCTCCAAAGTTAGCCATGATGCTTTGAAGATCGTGTTCCTTCGTAACTTCTAATAAAATCTACTGTTTTCCCCAAAAAAAATTAAAAGTTTTTGAATAGTAATTAGGTTTACGACTTTTCAAAACATGTTAATTTTGTAAATAAAGTTAGGATAATGTTAAGGAGATCAAAATTTTAAACTAAATTTGCAAATAAATGATGTGTCACTAATAGAAAATAAGCACATTATCCAATTATTAACATCTACAATTTCACGTTATTTGATTTACAAAATTTGATTTAAAAATTTAGTTTTCCTAGTATTATTTAAGTTTAATGAGCTACCAACTAATACATGTTATAAATACCAACTAGTTAGCTATTCCAACTTACTTCTCGACCGAGATCCCAAGTTCATATTCTTCTTACCAAGTTAGAAAAATAATACAAGCATATGTTTTTCTTTTTCTGGAAAAGAAATATAAACATATGTTCATGATAGTTTTGAACATATTTCATTGACTAAAGTTAAAGAAAAGGGTTAGTTTTGGAATAAAATGCAAGAATGTGTAAGAAGTTTAACCCAAGGTTTTTCCTGTATCATTCTAGAAATTTACCGACATAATGGGAGAATTTTTCGATATGTCCGACGCGGCCGGATTCCGTCCTCTCTAGCCGTGGAAAGATATTGTTTGGAGCTCTCAACGCCTTAGACGACTTTTTCCGACGATAACGGCTCGTGGCAGCAGCAGCCAGAAGCCCAACAAAGGACGCAGCCAAGATGTGTACTGTGAGGTTGATTTTTCCATTCCCACCTTCTAAAACATATATATATATATATATATTAATTACAGAGTTTGATATGAGAGAGAGAGAGAGAGAGAGAGGTTGGCTTTGGCTTACCATGGTGCTGCATCCTGCTGGAACTCAGAGGCAGAGCAGGAGTGATATGTTTAAGCTTTGAAGGGATTGAGACGCCTCTAGTTCTATTTCTAACGAGGAGGTCATGTCTTTACAAAAAATAGGAGATTCTCACTACATGATACAATTGTTGTAGAATTAGTGGTTGAATGCCCACTCAAAAGGAATAAAGACTTGGGAATAGTATTTGATACTTTCAAAAGTGGTATTTGGATGGTTGTTATTACGGGAGTTGTTCTATAAATAGAACACTCCGTGTGCTATCAAAATACACTGCGAAAGAAAGAATAAAAGAAATAATATCAGTATCCCTCCATCTCTTTATATGCCATCCTTTTGTGTTATAGCTACTAAAGTTACAATGTGATATTTTGCACCCGCTTCGCTCCTGTCCCTAACAAAGGTTATCTCTTTAACTTTTATTTATTTATAACATGTTATCAGCACGACTCTCTAACCTTAACTAGTTCTCATCTCCCTTCACCGAAAAGAAAAAAAAAATGCTTCCTCCAAGGATTTTCCTGTTCTTTTTCTTCCTCTGCTTCACCTACATGATGTACCGTCGCGATGAACTGCTAACACCATGCCTACTTCTCTTTCTCAATTTAACAATTACTTATATCTTTGATTTCTTATTTGGTGTAGTTCTTGATTACTAACCCAGTGTTTATTTATGTTAATTTTACTGTGATCAAAGATGGTCCGGTACAATCGCCCATCTTGAGCTACTAATTTAATTTTATTGCAATTTTAGGTGGTGCGGTATAATCGTCCATCATATGCTTGCTTCAATTAGAATGGTGCGGTACAATCGCCCTTCTCATTAATCATGTAAATCTCGAGCCTGAAATTTCGAGTGCTTATCATTTTGGCCTGAAGATCAAAATGAAAAATTTGTAAAAACCAGAAGTTCTAACACTATATTCCTCCAGGAATACATATTATTGCAAGTTCTTACACATCTCATTTTTCTTTCAGAAAAGAAAATGGCGAACTTGGCAAAACTTGATTTTGTTGCCCTAGACATTACTGGGAAGAACTACCTCACCTGGGTAGTGGATACCAAGATCCATCTGAAGGCAAGGAATCTTGGAGAAACCATTAGGGAGGAAAACAATGCATCATCTCAAGATCGGGCGAAGGCTATGATCTATATTCGTCGCCACCTTGATGAAGGACTAAAGAGCAAGTACCTAACGGTTGAAGATCCGGTAGCTCTCTGAAAGGCATTGAGAAACATATATAAGCACTAGAAAATGGTGATTCTTCCAAGGGCTCGTTATGAGTGGAGTAAGGATCCAGGATTTCAAGTTAATAATTGAGTACAATTCTGCGATGTTCAGAATTAGCTCCCATATGAAGCTCTACAATGTTCACAACCAGGTTCCAAGGCATAATTCAAGCCCGAGCTTCAAAAATGTAAATTGCCACAAAGCCAAAACTCATATGAACAACGCTCCTAGAAACTTTGAATAAGCCTGCCATAGGTGTGGTGGCAATGGGTATTGGGCGCATACCTATTGTACCCCAAAACAAATGGTGGATTTATATCAAGCTTCCCTCAAGGATAAAGGTGTTGAGACCAATTTCCTCGACCAGGCTAGACCAATGGATATACTTGATCCAGTGTGCGACTTATCAAGGTAGTTGAACACAACCCACCTAGATGTCTTGAACTTCATTCTGGAAAGAGGGAATGAAATGTATCGGTCCGATTGAATCATTTATGTTTGATGTATTATGAACTTGTAGTTTAAAACTCGCATTTCAATTCAATAAAAGTGGCATTTAAATTTCCTGTTATTATGAATAAATGATTTTTAACCGTGATCCCCTTTACTCAGAAAGCATGGATAAAAACTATGGTTATTCTCAAAACAAGAGAAATGGCGGAGATATTTGTCTTGCAGATAATGCAACTACGCATACAATACTTCGAGATCGAAAATATTTCTCAAGCTTGATGCTTACAAAAGTAAGGGTAACAACAATATCAGGCTAATCAGATGTAATTGAAGGCTCAAGAAAAGCTCAGATCATGTTACCAAATGGAACAATATTGTCCATACAGAATGTGTTGCACGTTACTCGATCTACTTGAAATTTGTTGAGTTTTAAAGACATACGTTTAAATGGATACCAAATTGAAACGAAAAGTGCAGAAAATGTGGAGTATCTATGCATTACCTCCAATGATACCTAGAAGCGTATATTGGAGAAGTTACGTGGTTTGTTGAGTGGATTGTATTATACATATATAAAGACAATTGAATCACATACAGTCATTAACCAGAAGTTCATTGATTCAAAGGTTTACATGCTTTGGCATGACCATATGGGTCAACCAGGATCCACCATGATGCATAGGATCATTACCAACTCTAATAGACATCCATTATTGAGCAGACACATTGTTATCTCAAATGATAACCCTTGCAAGGCTTGTTATCAAGGAAAGTTGGTGATTAGACCATCACAACTAAAGGTTGATGCTGAATCCCCATCATTTTTGCAAAGAATTTAAGGGGATATTTGTGGGCCTATTCAACCATCTTATGGACCATTTTGATATTTTATGGTTTTGGTTAAAGCATCTACCCTATGGTCACATGTTTATCCTTTGTCTACTCGAAATGTAGCTTTTGCGAGACTTCTTGCTCAAATAATCAAGTTGCGAGCACAGTTCCCAGACTATCCCATTAAGTCAATCTGACTTGATAACGCTACTGAATTTACGTATCAAACCTTTGATGATTATTGCATGATATTGGGCATTAATGTTGAACACCCTGTTCCTCATGTCCATACTCAAAATGGTCTAGCAGAAGCATTTATCAAGCGGCTTCAATTAATAGCTCGCACTCTGCTCATGAAAACAAAATTGTCAGTTTCTGCATGGGGACATGCCATCTTACATACTGCATCATTGGTTTGATTGAGACCTATAGCCAACCACGAATACTCCTCAGTACAACTCGTGTTTGGGCATCAACCAAACATTTCACATTTACAAGTTTTTGGTTGTGCTATTTATATGCCTATTGAACCACCACAACGCACTAAAATGGAACCTCGGTGTAGACTGGGAATTTATGTGGGTTTTGATTCACCAACTACCATTGGATATTTGGAACCTTTGACAGGTGATATGTTTAAAGCTCATTTTGCTGATTGTCACTTTGATGAGACAATATTCTCATCGTTAGGGGGAGAAAAAATCGTTCCAGAAGAATGACAAGAGCTAACATGGGTTGTACCCACCTTGTTTTATTTTGATCCACGTAGCACTCAATGTGAAAATGAAGTGAAAATGATCGTTCATCTTCAGTTAATTAAATGCCAGATGCATTTAATAATGCTATGAAAATGACAAAATCTCATATACCAGTTGCAAATTCACCTACAAGAATTGATGTCCCTGTTGGACAAAATAAAGTGGTAGCGAATGATTCATCTGGTGCACGCCTCAAGCGTGGTAGACCCTCATGTTCAAAAGATTCAGCCACTAAAAAGAGAAAGACGAAGGCACAACTGAATTCGAATGAAATCATTCAAGAAGAGAAAATGAATGACAAATCCACAACTGATGATTCTATACTTTTAGGAAAAGAAAATGTCATTGATGAGACACATGTCTCTGAAGAGACAACGGTACATGAAAGCAAAGAAATCTCCATAAATTATGCATGTACTAATGAATTGTGGGATCAAAATGAAATAATTATCGACGATATGTTCGCATTCGCAGTAGCCACTGAAATCATATTAAGTGATGATATTGAGCCCCGCTTTGTTAATGAATGCAAACAGAGACAAGATTGGCCTAAGCGGGAAAGATGCAATCCAGGCAGAATTAAATTCCTTAGAAAGGCGAAGTGTTTTTGGACCAGTAGTCCAAACTTCGCCTGATGTAAAATCCCGTGGGTTACAAATGGGTATTCATAAGAAAGCGTAATGAGAAATGAGATTGCAAGATATAAAGCACGACTCGTTGCATAAGGCTTTTCACAAAGACCTGTAATTGATTATGAGGAGACATACTATCCCATAATGAACGCAATTACGTTCCGTTACTTAATAAGTTTAGTGGTTTAAAAAAACTTGACATGCGACTTATGGATGTCATCATTGCGTATCTATATGGAGAATTAGATACTGACATATACATAAAGGTCCCAGAAGGACTTAAGTTGCCTGAAACAATTAACAAACCACGAGGTATGCTCTCAATCAAATTAAGGCGATCATTGTATGGGTTGAAACAATCTGGACGAATGTGGTATACTCGTCTCAGTGAGTATTTGATCAAAAAAGGGTATACCAACAATGTCAATTGTCCTTGTGTGTTCATTAAGAAATCAAATTCTGGATTTGCTATAGTGGCAGTATATGTCGATGATATGAACCTAGTTGGAACCCTAAAGAGCTCAATAAAGCTATTGAATATTTGGAAAGCAAATTTGAAATGAAAGACCTTGAAAAACAAAATATTGGCTCGACTTGCAGATTGAGCATTGTGCTAGTGGAATTTTGGTCCACCAATTAGCTTACATTGAAAAAATCATGAAGTGATTTGGCATGGACAAGGCTTATCCATTCAACACGCCAATGGTTATTCGTTCTTTGGACATTAAGAAAGATCTATTCCGTCCAAAAGAAGATGATGAAATGGTCATTGGACCAAAAGTACCATATCTGAGTGCAATAGGTGCTTTATTGTATTTAGCACAATGTATTAGACTAGATATAGCTTTTTCAGTTAACTTGTTAGCAAGGTATAACTCTGCTTCAACAATTCGTCATTGGCAAAGAGTCAAAGATGTTTTGCAATACCTTCGTGGGACAATAAACATGGGTCTCTTATACTCAAAGAAATCCACAAATGACCAGATCCTTGTTGGATATGTAAATGCTGATTTTCTCTCTGATCTGCATAAATCTCGCTCACAAACTGGATATATGTTCAATAATGGAGATATATCAATCTTATGGCGCTCAACAAAGTAAACACTAGTTGCTATATCTTCAAATCACTCAGAAATACTTGCTTTACATGAAGCAAGTCATGAATGTTCTTGGTTAAGATCAATGATCCATCATATTCGGAATTCATGTGGTCTACCTTCAAAGACAGACAACCAATTGCCATCCATGAAGATAATGCAGCCTGTGTTGCCCAAATAAAAGAAAGATTCATCAAGGGCGATAAGACT